AATGTCACTTTTACTCATAGGATGTTTTCTGTTTAGCTTTTTCTCCTTTACATATTCTACATTCAGGATGGTTGGAGGTAGCCATGTAGGAATTCTGCCATCAGTGATTGACTCTTTTGTTTCAGGCAGTTTGAGATCAAATTGACATCTGAAGGGTTCACCAGTTCAGTTGTAGTGCTAAAAGAGTGAGAACTGCTAACAACGAAAACCTGGTGGTTTGTTCGTGATATTCATTACTCAGTTCCTCTACTAGCAACTTTTTTATTTTTTGGAGGAAGGAAATGCAACTATTGTGGCATAAACGACATTTGAGTGTCAAATATGTGACTGACTCATGCAGTTAAGTAATAGTATCTAATGAAACTATTGAATTTCACAAAGAAATCTTTCTGAACCATAGGGTTATTGTTTTATAAGTTTAGAGTGAAAAGTAACCTTAGAAGTCATCTAGGTGAATTATCTCACTTACAGATAAGGAAACTGAAGCTAGAGAAGGGAAGTTACTTGTGCAAGCTCACGCAGGTAACAAAGGGCTATGATCTGAACAAGAGCTTTGATGCCGTCATTCAGAGTCAAGTAGTGTTTTGAATAGGCAAAACATTCTTTTTCTATGATGAACCAAAAGAAAACCTTTGAAAAGATATGCATTTTTTCCAGACAGTCTAGTTCTAAACAGTAAGAAGTAGAGGAGGGAAAACTGATTAAGAGAAAATTTGGCATCAGATCCAATTAAGAAAGAATATCTCAAGAGCATTTAAGAATGATTTTAAAGAGGACACCATAGAGATGAAAACCAGAAAAGATCTATCAAATTTTCATTTACGAACTTTTATTCAAATATGGTGTAGAATCACAGAATTTGGACTCTAGCCTCTCAGTTTCCAATATGTTATATGAGGAAATGAAAATGGCATTAAAGAAAACTAAAGTGGGAAGAATAGCTGGATCAGAACGAGGATAGACTGAGAAGGCGTGTGCTGGGGCCATCAAATTCTGATGGCAATAGAGGGAGCAATTCACAAGTTTATCTGAAAAATAGGAAGATATCAAACAACTGGAGAAAATTGCAGTGTGTATTATTACTGAAAAAGTGATGAAGAGTACGTCAGTATCCATCTGCTTGTTTTCTCATCTCTACAAAACATTTGAGAGGAATTTGCACATTTGTAAGGGTATTCTTCCTGAAAATATGAGAAGGGAAAAGGCAAATTTTCACAAATGATCATCTACAGCAGACCAAAACTTTATAATCAGTGATTGACTGAAAGGTACAGAACAATATGAGAGCTTTCTATATTTATTGTTCACTACTTTAAAAATTGAACAGCCAGGTGCTGCAATGGATGGAGTTCTGGGCCCAGAGCCAGGAAGACTCATCTTCTTGAGTTCAAGTCTGGCCTCAGATGCTTACTAGCTGTGTGACCCTGGGCAAGTCACTTGACCCTGTTTGCCTCAGTTCTTTATCAGTAAAATGAGCTAGAGAAGGAAATGGCTGACCATTCCAGTGTCTTTCCCAAGACAACTCCAAATGGGGTCACAAAGAGTCGGACATGAATGAAACAACAATTTAAAAAATCATTGACTGTCAAATGCAGTCCATTGACTTTTCCTATGAATATATATTTCTTTGATGGACAGCATATATGCATTATAAACCAGGCTTAGTTTTAACTAGAAGGAAGATCATAAGCTAGATTTATTTTCAGAAATTGCATAGTGCTTTCAGCAATTCCAGCTGTCTTACTGAGACCCAAAACCCATTATTATAAAAACTACAGTATTCTTTTGATATTGCGAAATAGCTGTGAGTCATGGGATACTACAGATTGTAAGCTCCTTGAGGGCAGGAACTGCCTTTTGCCTTTTATTTTTTTAGCACAATGCCTGATTGAAAGTAGGTATTTAATAAATGTTTATTGATTGATTGAATAAAAACTCCTGATCACTCAACGAGCCATGGTGAAACAGGTGGTAGGCATAAATAGGCTGTTGCATATCACTAATTATAACTTGTATACAAACGGTGGCGTGGAAACATTACCAAAGAGATCAAGAATAGTAGATGGACATACTGAATAACTCACTTATACCCAAGAAATGTTAAGGATCTAGCGGAATGTTTCTCCTTCTCCCACAGAGGGAGTTGGACCACTTATGGATAAAAGGATGTGGACAAAAATGGCTGGGTTGTGATCTGTGGCATTTAAGGGGGATGGCAGCACCGAACTGATGAGCTTACAGGTCCATTGAAGAATTGGAGAAAGACTCTGTTTCTACCTAGTAAGGAACACTGGAAACATATGCTAATGTCCTATGGTGGCCCGAGTCCTCGATTATCTGTAGGGAGTCAGAGAGATAGGGTGGTTTTTGGTGATTGAATGTAAGGTGTAGGCCTGAGAACCTAAAGTCATTTCTTAGGAGGGTGTTTGGTGTGTTGTGTGATGGTGTTGTTTCACACGTAATGTTGGACTACAAATTAGCAAGGGGAGTGGGTAAGAGCAGGGTTTGGGTGGAGAGCACATGTTAACAGCTAGGACCCAGCTGAGGAAAGCAATTTTTAGTTGAGGGAAAATTTTTGACTTAAAAAAAAATAGGAGAGAGGGTAAAGAAAGGTCAGAATAGACCATGTGGGAAAAGTGAAAATAGGGATACAGTGGTATCTTTAGAGAATCCTAGAGAATCAAGAAAAAAATTAATTGAAACAATTAACTTCAGCAAAGTTGCAGGATATAAAACAAATCCACATAAATCATTAACATTGGTATATTACCCAACCCAACAATATTTGTTGGTATATTACCGACAAAACTCAGCAACAATATCTAGAGAGAGAGAGATTCCTTTCACAATGACTATAGAAGCTATAAAATATTTGGGAGGGTACCTACCAAGATTTATTCAAGGACCATATGAATACAACTATAAAAAACACATCGTAGGAATGAAGAGAGAACTAAATAATGGTAGAAACATTAATTGCTCATAGGTAGGTTGAGGCAGTATAATTAAAATGACAATAACTACCAATGATAATTTACTTAATCAAGCTACCAAAAGAATGTTTTATAGAGTTAGAAAAAAAAACCCAACACAGTTCATATGGAGGAAGAAAAGGTCAAGAATCTCAAGGGTACTAATAGAAAACCTGGGAAGGAAGGTAGCAGTAGCAGATCTCAAATTGTACTAGTTTTTATCACTAAGTCTTTATTGCTAAGATGATTTGATAATGAATGGTCAATTAGAAAAGAGAGCTTAATGGGTGGGTTAGGTATACAATATACAGAAGCAAACAAAACACTGTAGCATAGTGGTCAATAAACCCAAAGATCCCAGTTATAGGGGGAAGGACTTACTGTAGGACAGAGACGACTAGGAAAACTGGATAGCAGTATGACCGAAGTTAAATTTAGACCAAGCTGTCACACCATACACTGAGATAAGCCCCACATAGATATGACATGTAAAGGATCACATTATAAACAAATTAGAGGAAGAAGGAAGAAATTACTTTTTCAGACTTATGCATAGGGGAAGAGTTCATAACAGAGAGGAATAGACAACAGAAAATGAACAGTTTTGGTTATGTAAACAAATTTTAAATTTTTACATGAATAAATCTAATGTATTAAAAATTAAAAGATAAATAGATAACTGGGGGGAAATTTTTTGTGGTAAGTTTCTCTGGTAAAGGTCTCATATCTAAGATATATAAGGAACTGGTTGCAATTTATAAGACAAAGACATTCTCCAAAAGATTTATTTTCAAAGGAAAAACTACAATCTATCAACAACTACATAAAAAAACACTAAATCACTATTAATTAGAGAAATGCAAGTTAAAGTAACTGAGATTTCACCTCACATCAGACGGGCAAAGATGACAAAAGAGGAAAATGACAAATGTTGGAGGCACTGTGGCAAACAGGTACACAAGTACATTATTGGGGGAGCTGTAGATTGGTTCAGCCATTCTGGAAAGTAATTTGGAATTATGCCCCCCAGATGTCTAAATGATTCATACTCTTTGACCCAGCTATCCCACTACTAGCTCTTTACCACAAAGAAATCAATGAAAGAGGAAAAGGACCTGTATGTACAGAAATATTTTTAGCAGCACTTTTTGAGGCAGCCACAATTGTAAATTATGGTAGTTTGGGAAAATGGCTAAATAAATCATGATATATGAATGTAGTGGAATAGTGTAGTGGGCATAAGAAATGACAAAATGGATAGTTTAAGAGAAAACTGAAAAGACTTCTATGAACTGATGCTAACCAAAGTAGACAGAACCAGAACAGTTTACACAATGGTAACATAATAGAGAAAAAGAACTTTGGAGTACTTTAGAACTTTGAGCTAATGATAGACCACCACTACAAAACAACAACAAAAGCCATGAAATGTACCATTCTCCTTCTACCAGAGAAGAGAAGAACTTAAAATGTCCAATATGGGAAAGTTTTGCTGGACTATACAGTTATATATTGAGGGCTTTATTTTTTGTGCATATGTGCTTTCTTTCTTTTAAAAACAATTATCAATGGTAATAGGAACAGATGAATTTTTTTAAAAAGGTATTTATGTTATGAAGCATCATATTTATTTCAAAATGATTTAATACTGTGCAGTGGTGTTGCTCTGAATTAATACTTAGGCATTGTACGACACTACCAAGGAGACATGCCAAAAATACACTGCAACACCTTTTAAAAAATATTTCAGTGTTCTACTTCGGTGGAGAACTGCTACTGATATTATTGCTATTTGGAATGAATGAGGAATGTTTATTGAAAAAATGTGTTAAGTGAAGGATTTAAAGTGAACAATATTTGCATTTTTAAATTATTGCATTGCTAAGAGACATACCATGTATTTAATTAAATTCTTGTGCTTAAACACTTGTATTTACTAAATGCACTTTTACTAAAATTCAAATGTGATAATATGAAAACTTATTAAATTCTGTCTAGTAAGATTACAGCATATAGCTTATTACTCACCCATTGAATCTATTCCAGTATTCAAGTGGATACCAAGAAAAGGTGCGTGAAAGGCTGATAGGAACATTTGAATTCCAGTGCGTTGCATCCTCTTAGGATAATGCCCTGTTTCTAACAGGTACAACAATTCTTTTGTGACACTAGGTGATTATTTGGCTCACAAGTGAAGGCCTTGATTCCATGTAATTCTAAATTCTAAATCAAGCCAATAGTGCATTAAATGTTCCTTTCATGTACTTCATAGCAACTGCCCTAGATCTTTTTCTCTTTCCTTAAGAGGCTCTATATTAAGTGCCACCCTACCCCACTTGCCTTTCAGTAGACCACCTCATCTTCTTTGGTTTTGGGACACATCTCTCCTGATTCTCTTACTGGTCTGACTATTCCTTATGAAGGTCTTTTGTTGCATCCTCGTCTCCTAAATGTAGGTATCCACCTCTAAGACTCAGTCCTAGTCTCTTTTCATTTTCTCTGTATTGTTGTTGGTCTCCTCAGCTCCCATAGGTTTTATTATCACCTCTATGTTATAGAACCTCTTATCTCCAGCCCTAATTTCTCCAGAACTCCAGTACCATGTCTGCAAGTGACTCCTGGATCTCCATTGAAATGTCTCACTGCTACTTCAAACCTCCTCTAAACTTCCCTGGTTTTGTTGAGAATATTGTCATATCTAGTTATTGAGGTATGAACATCTCAGTGTTAACTTTGATTCTTTTCTGTCTCCGTTTTACCCCTTCTATACAATTAGCTGTCAAGTCCTGTATATTCTACCACAATAAATCTTGTAATTGGCCCTTTCTATCCACTCATTGGACCAGTCTTCCTTTTTACCTTGATTGCTGTATTAGGCCCCACATTGGTCTTTCTCTTTTATGCCCTATGTCTGTCAAAATCACAAATTACTCTAGAATTAAATTTATACTCCTTCGCCTGGCATTTAAGACCATCCATAATTTGTCTCCAAATTACCTCTCCTGGTTTGTTTAATATTACGGTGCTTCAAGCTGTGTATGTTTCAGCCAGATTTAAGTATTAAGCTGAAGAGAGACTTTGAAAGTGTCCTTTGGAATTGATGGTGTGACATGCCAGCCACTGGCACAGAACCACTCAGCATGGTGTGCCCTTGTCAGAGAAGGTGCAGTGCCCAATGAGCAAAGCAGAATTGAAGTAGCTCAAAAGAAATATGAGATGTGCAAATTTAGAGAATCCACCCCAAATGTTCACATGGAATATACGTACCTAACCTGTGGTAGAACATTCCAAGCTCATATTGGTCTGAGCAGCCACAGTCAGACACACTGTAACTTGACTCTAGCATAGTGATGTCATTTTAGTCCCCTTGGAGAATGAAGGACAACAGCCATACCAAACTATTAAGGTTGACATCTCATCCTGATTTTTTACATTTATGTAGGCCTAGAATGTACTTCTTACTCAATTTTGCCTTTCACAAGCCTTAGGCAAGGCTTATCTGCTTTCAGGGCTAGGTTCAAGTGCTACCTGCTCAGGGCTGCCTTTTTTAGTTTTCCCAGCTGAAAGACTTCTCTTCCCCCTCAAATATTCCCACCTGGACATTGCTTATCCAAACTCTTACATCTTTCTATTAATACTATTCATGTTTTTCAGTGTTGGTAACAAGAACTTCAATAAAAACCATAGAAAGATATGGCCAATTTAGTAAATTCTCTAATTTCCTTTCATTTTCATTACCTTCAAATGACCACTTTATCACTTTGATTTTGTCTTTGCCTTGGAGGGGTGAGCATGTCATTTGCCAGGTCATCTGTAGTAGAATATCAACTCATTTGGGGTGGGGACTCGGTCATATTTATCTCTGTATCCTTAGGACTTATAAAATAACTTGCATTGAAGTGCTTAATCAATGTTTGGATTGACTTGGATTATATTTGGTGATATTCATATTATCCATGAGACATTAGCTTTGCAGAAGAAACTGAGGTGCAAACTTTATCACAACACTTGTATTCTCAACTCTCTCTTTTGTTTTAGTTTTTAGGCAATTAGGGTTAAGTGACTTGCCCAGGGTCACACAGCTAGGAAGTGTCAAGTGTTTGGTCTGAGGCCAGATTTGAACTCAGGTCCTCCTGACTTCAGGGCAAGTGCTCTATCCACTGCACCACCTAGCTGCCCCCTCAGCTCTCTTAAAAGAAGTCATCTCCTTGTCTCCACATGGAATAACCTCAAACAAAAAGCTTAATGTTGGTTTTCTGAATATTCTGTTTTTCTTTGTTGTGTTTTTTTTGTTTGTTTATTTGCTTTTACCTCTGGCTAAAGCCAAACTGAATGCAAAGTCATTTTGAAATGTTTAGCCCAATTTTTCTCAACACTTTGGACAATGCGTGTGTACTTGGATTTTGCTTATTCTAATCTGTTGCATTTCCCTCGTAGTGTCATTAACATGTTTCAGCATTTGGAGCAAGAATGCCTATAAAAACCATAGAAAGGCAACATGACAATTATTAGCTCTCATTTTTATGATCTTCAGTTCAGTTTACTCTCTGATGTCTTTGTGTGTGTGTGTCCAAATTGATAGATATTATACAAACTGTTTTAAGAGTACATCTTTTCATCATGCAATTTAGTATATATATATATAAAGATTTATGGTTTCCCTTGTCAACAGTGCAGTACTATTTCCTCTAAATATTCAAGGGGCATTTCCTCCCATTTGTGTGACCTCTGGGCACCCACCCCCAATACAATAAAAAACATTACCCATATAATTCAAGGTAGGAAGTAACTTCGATTTTGTTTTGGTTTTGTATTCACCCTTTGCCCTATAGTAGCTACTTAAAAAATGTTTACCAGAAGTTGAGGGTGTGAGTGGTTTTAAGCAGAGTGTGAATACTGTTTTTCTGAAGGTGAGAGCTAGTGCTGACTTCAGCATGAAGACCAGAGCATCTTTTGGCATTCTAAGTTATAGTTCAACTATATCTATAGGTAGAGTTCTATAGTTATAGTTCAACTGACTAGTCTGAAAGCCAATATCTGTAGATAAAGGGCATCAAAAATTGAGTGGTGTGAAGTAGTCTAGGAGTATGTCAGGACCGAAGTCCATTGGGAATTAATTGTCTCATGACAAAAGCTCCCAAGACCCCTCTTCTTCCTCCTCCTCATTATCCCTTAGATTCTTGATTTTCATTTTTTTTTGGATGGATGGGTCTAAATATATCATTATAATTAAAGCATTTAATAATTTGATTTCCAAATTTTCAGATTTTTCTGTTCCAGATGGTGAAGGAAGCACCAATCCTTGCCTTGCTTGTGGTTTTGTGAATATTGTTCTAGCTAATGAAATTAAAATTGCATCTATGATTAGTGAGGTAGAATTGTAGAGATTTAGAGCTTCCAGGTGGGACTTAGAGAATATGTAGTCCAACCATTCCTCCTCATTTTACAGATCAAGAAACTGAGGCATGAAAAATGAAAATGGCTGATCCAAAGTTGAGTGACTAATTGGTCATGAAATTAGGAGTTCATGTCAATTCTGTTGATTCTTGAGACAGGGGTCTTTCCATCATAGTACCATCATCCACGAAACTAAATAGAGCCTCATCATTCAAAAAAACCAAAAAAGACGATGTGAATACTTAGGCAGCTAGATATTCAGTGTTAAAATACTAGAGTTGGAGTCAGAAATATCTGAATTCTAAACCTTACTCAGACTCTAGCTGTTTGACCCCTGGACAGGTTACTCAGAAGCCTCTTTAAGGCTCTATTTCCTCATCTGTATAATGAGGGAGTTGGACTTCATGGCCTTTAAGGCCCCTTCCATCTCTAACTCTGTGATACTGTGACCGTACATATTTGACCCTTGCTAAAATGAGAGCATTTTTTCATAAAATTATTCTTTCAGGATGTGCCTGGCACTGTGTTCAGCACTACAGAGACAAAAAGAGAGCAATCTTTGCTGTTATATTGGGGAAACAAAGCACATGTATAAGAAAATAGAAAAGATTATCAATTAATTATCAATCAAATATTTATTAAGTACCTACTGTGTGGCAGGCACTGTGCTAAGTGCTGGGGATAACATAAAGAGTCAAAAAGACAGTCCCTACCCTCAAGGAGCATACAAGCACATTACAAAGTCCACCAGTTCTCAATATTCTATAATTAATACATCAGTCATAATTTTGAAATTACTGATTACAGTTCTAGTCTCTAGCAAGATGGGCAGTTCTTATGAATTGGGGAGAGAGTATTATAAATGGGGAGCTAAGAGAGGGGCACCGGACTCTTCTTTTGGATGGCTGTCTCCATTATTGGTTAGTGGAAAAGGCCACCAGGATCTCTTAGCTCCAGTTTGCTGAGCAAAGTCTGAGAACCAATAATGTTTTCGTAACTATGTGGAGTGAAAGATTAATGAAAATGGATTTTATGTGAAGTTTTAAAGTTCCATGGAAGGTGTCAAAGGAAATTTTTTAAAAAATTAATCTTATTAAAGAAAGAAATCTTGATATTGCTTTGAAAATGCTTGTTAGAGATGAAGAAAACTGCCCTTTTTTCACTCATTGATCTTAATTTAACATAGTTTACTTAACTAGCAAGACACAAAAGTTTTAAAACAGGTTGTTCTGAAAACTGAGCTATTGAATGTTTCCTTCTCAACAGGCTTAGTGCTGTACAGCTGTATTTCTTTGGAGGGGTGTTAGCATCCTTTAGATACTGTGAATGATTGAACGTATTACATGCCTTCTATAATATGTTGTTTCTGAATACAGGTTTTGTTCAGTTTGGATAATTTGCATTTGAGATCCAGTGAGAATAGTCATGGAAAGAGCAGGTTTTTGTTTTGCCTGATGAATGAGGAGGTTTTGAAGTATTTCTCAGTCTAGTCAGTGTCAAGTACCATTTGAGTAATAAGGGACTTATTACTCATTGATCTTCTTTAGTAAATGTCCACTTAAAATTAAAATTTTGCATTCCCCAATCAGTTTGCTCTGTGATGACATTGTGGAAAAAGGGGGAAAAAAACCCTTCTTCTCATAGATGCATATATTATGTAGTTTTTACTTGTTAGATTTCAAAGGCAGATTCTCACGTCTTCTGTTATG